TGCAGTAAAAACTGTTTTTTACCTTAATCTGCGCTAATTTCTTCGAAGTCCCGATAACTCGAACCTTTTTTCGATTTCCCTTGAAGGTTCGAGTTATCGGGAGTCGACTGTATTTAGCTTTCAGTACTTAAGAGTGATTTTCTGTAAAATTCGAACTTCGGCCTGACACGGTACCTCATCGATTTGGCTGATTTTTGGCATGTAGTCTTAGAATGGTGCCCTAAGTATTGAATGCATATTCTAAGGTTTGAATTCTCTTTGGTTTCAAAGATACAGGAATGACAGTTTTGACGAGGCGTCGAGGGGCCGCCATGTTGGTGAACTAAAGGAGATTTACAGTAATTAATTCTAGCCTTATCATTAAAATAACTTAATCGTGACTCATACAGTTGCAAAGAACTATCCTTCCTCCTTTCATTTACCTACTCTTATCTGAAAATGGTTCAGCCTGAGCTACGAACGGCTATAACTTCTCACAGCACTTTTTCGGTACTTAAAAGGTACACAAATTTGGTAGAAATTGGAAGGTCAATATCACCCATGCCACATCGATTTAAACTAAGCCATTTTAGCTAAACATAGTTCGTTTATAGCTAAGTTAGACTGTTGAATAAAATAATTGGGCAAATGCAACGGAGCAGAAATATAATTGCATGAATGCGCAATGGTTCAGCCACTTGGCCGCTAAAACTTCCTAACAGAATTCGGTGAATATTTGAAAAGAAAATTCTTTAAAAATTGATCGGGCCTCTTAAAGCCTATCTATCGCTTAAAAAACCCTCCCTTGTAATGTAAAAAGATGATCTTATGATTCTGATCTTGCGAAGAGTTTTAAATATGCGCTAAAATGAAAATTATAAATTTTGTTACATAGGGTACTAGCTCAAGTTCGCTCTTCGATTTGCCAGACCAAAAGGGAGCCGCTCGTGTACTGCACAGTTACAATTTTCTCTGTAGTATTTCGCCGTATACAGCTACAAATTACATATTTTCTTAGGCAAAGATAACGCAAACGTTGTCACTTTTTATCAAAAGAATAGAAAAACAAACCGTGCACTGCAGCTTTATGCAAATTATATGGTATTCGATAATTACACGTGTAAACAGGAACCCACCTTTGCTAATGCACACTGCTGTTTGGTAGATCTTTCCAGCGTAAGATATAAAAATAGTAGATGAAATGAAATTAAAGAACTCATCAAGTCAAATTACCCGATCGTACCGTCATTACGTATACTGAATAATAAGTCCGAAAAATATGACATGGAATGATCGGTGGGAGACGAAGCTATTAGGGAGTTTAAGATACGGTGACTACGGACTACGACTACGGATAAACATGCTACTGCGCATGATCAAAACCACGTGACTGTTCATTTTTCCCGCGTAGTCCTGCGGCTACGGTGAGTTGTTGAGCTGTTTCGCGTAGTCGCGACTACGGAGAACATTTTGCTCGTATTTTGCCGTTCGGTAATTCAAGAATCTCATCTTTTCGTAAAAAAGTTTGCAATTCACCTGCTTTAAGTGAGAAGGAAGCGAAATATGTAAGTTGTGTCTAATTTCTGCTCAGATTTACGCTTTTAATCGACTGTTGTGATTCAAATCTTTCTAGCTAAGCTTATATTAAGCTCAGATGTTTATACACAGAATTCAGATTGACGGCCGAGGAGAAGAGAAATCATGCAGGTAATTTACTTTCTCTTCGCACTTGAAAAGTTTCAATGTTTGGTCGAATTGATCAGTGTGTCTTTCTACTTGTGTAACCGTTGTTTATGAGAGTTTTTGTATAGCAATTGCTGAATGAAAATGATGTAAACATCTTCAACACAATCGAAACTCGGCATTTCAATACTTCAAACTACATCAGATCAGTAGTCGGAGAAGTCCATCCTCTAAATCTAATAAATGAGCTATTACTATTTCTGTCTATTTCTTTAATATTTGACATAAGTATTCATGGGCGAAAAAATAAAACCTGTGTAACCAAAACTTTGTTTACCAATTTCACCTGACGTAATTGCTTCCTTCAAGTATGGAAGAATTTGTTCATTGTTCTAAAGATAAGATCACATGCAAAACTGACTTGCATTTTTGTGAACTGTGATGAAAAAAAGAAAATCTTTGCGTGTTGTTTCCCTCTCCGCCTCTTCTCTCGTAGTTTACTGTCTGTAGTGCAATCTTAACGTTCTATATTTGCACGACTCAACCCAGTGCTACGAACAAAGGACAACGCTCGTCCAGCCGTAGTTCGTAGTCCGTAGTCTCCGTATCTTAAACTCCCTATTTTTAGGAGGACAAGGAACTGCACGCTGGAACGGAACTGAAATGAACAACCTAAATCTAGTTCAGTCTTCTTGACGCTATTAAACTTTTCACCCGAATTTGAACAGGAAGTTGTTTTCTATTTTCTTTCTCATTCTTGCATGTATTCTGCAGTTCGCCCAGTATTTTTTCTTAACTTTTAATTTTCTAGCAAACTGGAACTGTTCAGAACTACCAACCCCAACCCCCCCTCCCACTCTTTGAGTGAACTTTCATTCGGTCTGATTCACAATAATTTTGGAACAGTGACAAAGTGAAATTTGAAATGACATTTTATTTTAGTATTTTTAAAAGCTCCTTCTTTTTTTTCCGATAGCCAGGAATGTTTTGAACGTAAAAGCTCAAGTGTCGGTGTTTTTCACGACTCTGCTCGTGGACTAACCTCACCACCAGTATTACATCACGGACATAAAATCTGATCCGAGAGGGTCATACAGTAACTGATGGGTCTCTGAAAAGCGAAATGCAGTCACTTGGAGCGATTAGGCTATATAGATGATGAACTCATTGTTTATAACTCCATAACCGTATCCCAAAAGTCGAGCCAGCCCGGGGCGAGCGAACACAATTTTGGGGCCACTGGCCACGCCCTTATGTTTGGCGAGAAATTGGCTGATTAGTCAAATCTCCGTAACTCCACGACCATGCACCTTTCCAAATATTGCCCTTCTAATCATCATATAGTTAGGGCCTCCCGTAAGCATTTGCAACTATTTTGATTTGTAGAAGACTGTTTAACAGTTTTCATTACTTTTGTCTCGTAAACAACACGAGGTACATGTTCTGATCTCTCCCCCCTCACCCTTCCCCCATCCATAACAAAAAATTTTCAGACCAACACTGAATTGCATGAAATTAAGGTATGTACAAAAATATGACCATCTCGAGGCAAGGTTCATCACTGTAACTTACCACATAAGAGCCTTTTCGTTGTTTGCCATCGACTTATTCTGTTCTGAATACTAGGGTCCCATAAACAATGCCACGTTTAGAAAGAGCCCGCCCTTTTCAATCCAAGAAAACCAAGTAGCAATTTCACCAACGGACATAAGCCGTAAGAAAAGGACCGCGTCAAATAGTTCATAAAATCACAAACGCCTCATGACACCTTTAATTCACTCTTTCTTCGACAAACTAATTTTTAATTTTTTAAGCCTAAATGACATCAGCATGCGCGATTATGAGCATTGTAGCCTATGAAAAGAAAATTTAACCAATGCACTTGAAAATGTCAAAGACGGGGACTAGGGGGAATTAGGAACATCGTGCTTACCGCTGGAAAAATATTGGCTAGTTCTTTGAATATACTCAATTAAAACCGTTTTTGTTCAGTAAGGAGCTGTTAGATGGGGGGAAAGCTACAAAAAGTAGATCGCATCAGATCGATTAGCATGCAAGACCAATTATTATATAAAACAGAGAAAAATTCCTTGAGGGAAAAAATTATGGCAAGGGGAAAGACTCGAAGGTGGAAAGTTAGGATCGTAGCTTCTTTTCAGGTAATCGATCATTTACGTTAACTTCCGCTATCCGACGGGCATATCGGAAAGACTGAAAAAACTCAATGGATGAGAGTATAACACATTCAAGAAGAAACAAATTTGTGATTTTTCACAACTCGATAAAATAACTAAAAATGTGTACTACTCGGTTATACAAGATTTTTGTTTTCAATTTCAGATTTTTACGATGGGGCATTAGCCCCCGTACTCACTAGACACTACTTCACAATCATCATGTTAAAATCAGTGAAATACTACATTTGCATGGCGTACATTTTGAAGAACATTTGAAAACAATTTGGATTCCTACCCTTATACCTTTATTAAAGATTAAAGTTAGGAAGTTTGTTGTTTTCTAAAAGTGGTTTGAACAGCCGAACGACATTTTTTACAGGGAGTGGGGAAGGCAAAGCTTCACTTTTCTCTGCTAAGGTAAAAAGTGTCAGCAAAACTTGAGAGTCGTCCTTGAGGGTAAAGTGTCTAACCTAATTTTCTCACCGATTGCAAGTGCCATTTCAACCACGCATAACCTCACCTAGTTAACAGAATTAGCAAATGTAATGGGGAAACGTTGCGAGAGAACTGAGTAAGATGTTAGGGTAAGTTTTGAAAATTGTGCACACACCTGGAAAATCCTGGCTACGCTCCTTATAGAGACTTTTGTGGAGAGAAATTGAAACATGCTCGCTAATATAGTGACGACCAGAAAGGACAAGCGATAGGATAGTTCCAGAAAACCACCCAATAAAATAGATCATGAAGTTGTCGCGGCGGAGGATGAACTTGAAGGCTTCTGATGAAGTGCAATTTTTCAAGGGAGCCCAGACAAGATTATGTACGATGGGCACAGCTTGTTTGATCTGGAAAATTTAGAGAAGCTCAAGGCAAATCGCTAGACAACACATGCTAGAGCTGAACTAAAAATCATTTGGGCTTTTGAACTCTGTTCCTGAGGGTAAAGGAGAAAGTTTCCCTTTATCAATGCATTAACCAAGTTGATTATGAATGTCCCTTTATGTTGGACGTCTTACTAACAAGCACATTACCCCTACTTGTTCTCAGAGGCGTTTTTGAGTTGACGAGCAGAGAAAATTAGGTTTTGACGGTTTGAAATTCAGGATGCCAGAGTGAAGACGCCTTTTGTATGATGACGTCATCGTCCTTCAGTAAAAAGCATTCGTTTTTTACCACTGATAATACGTCAATCGGTACACTTATGTTGCCGAAAGGTCCGTGAGCATGGTAAATGATTTTACATTAAACTGCAGACACATCTTCAATCACTCCTTATTGTTCGCGATATCGGATAAACACTCTGGTCGCTAACTGGATTTTCTTTGCTGTTTACTTTATTTTGAATTAGGACTGTCTTGAGTTGTCCATGCATTGTCTAGCGATTTTAAGCTTTTTCAAGGAAACGAAAATCTGGAATTGTCCCTAGGTGAGGCATTTGCGCACAGTTTTAAAGCCCTGGGCTCATCCCTCATTCTTCTTAACCCCTTCCAAACCAATTTTTCTGTTTATCAAGAATCTCCTCAAAACGGGCTCCGTGATTGAGACAAAATACCTGAAAATTGTACACGGAACCGTTGTTAATGGTGTACAAGGTAGAATGAGTCTATTAATTACTTTGCCAACGCCCAATTTTTAAAACCGGAAGTAATGACGTTTATTTCAAGGGCTCATGTCTAATGAGTTTTGAGTGAATCTTCAAACGCTGTAAATACATGTAGCTGGAACTATCATCGTATCTTCGCTCACTAATAATGATAAGTTATATCAACTTCCATTATTTATTGCCTGGCTAAGATTTTCACGCATTCTTCAATTCAGTTGTTTGAAACCAGGCGGTTTCACGTGAGTTGTAACGCAATGCAAGGAACGTGACGACACGCTATATGCGTGGGAAAATATTCCTTTTTTTCGATCAAGGTGGAAACTGGCATCTTTGTCGTCGAGTAAGGTAATACATCTCAATTTCCGAAACAGGAGGAATTAGAACCTAAAGAACCTATTCCTTATTAAAGACCTCAAATAAAGTCTACTTGCCAATTTTTAGCCAATTCGGTGAGATAGTGTGGCAGCGACTTTTCAATATAGCTCGAATCTTACAGACAACTGCTCTTAATTCTAACTGGAAATTAATGGACTTTGTCTTCACCTATCATCAAGCACTTCACACAAGTGCCTCAGGAGCTGAGTGCACAATAATTACCGCAGATCATCGCCACTCACCTCGACGTCATAGATGGTGTATCTTTTAACGCTTTTAAAGTTATGATAGGCTGTGCATGGATATGTAGGGCGATGTAAGGATATTTAACAATTATTCCTCGAGCCCGATAAACATCCATGCGCTCTGAGTCAATAGGCCTCATGGGCTATTGACTCAGAGGCGATGAGGACGAGAGGAATAATTGTTTTAGTAAAATCTGACTAGTTGGTCAAAAATATCAAGATAAAACAACTTTAGTAGCAAAACGCGATTCAGCCGCCATTGTTTTGGTTTTCAAAGCCGGCGCTTTTCGCTACTAGTGGGCTACAACATATAGCCTAGTAGTAACTCAACCAATCAGAACGCAGCATTGATAGTAGACCTCTAGTTGGATTTTACTAAATACATCTAGCCGATTTTTTAAAAACCAGCCTAACGAAATTTGCAGTCATTTGAGTGAAAAGGCGTCGATAAGCTCCAAAAGGGAGGAGAGGAGAAAAAAGCAATGGTTGCGTTCTTAGTTTTTATAATGGCTACATTGGAGTTTTTGGCCGAAAAGTGTTGGACGCAAAAATGTCCATTTGGCGATAACGTTTACAAAGATCCGGCTAGATATCTGTGTATCGCTTTGTACCCTTATGTCAAGGGTTCGTTAAAGCTTTGGTTGTATTAGCTTAATTACGTGAAGCCACTATATGATGGTTCCAACTAGACGGGAAGGGGAGTCTCCGCTCGCACGCTTGGACACACCAGGTATCTACCAAAAAAAGGTAGCCAAAAAAGTCACCTAGAAAGTCGCCAAAAAAGTCGCTAAAATAGAAAACGAATTGCGTTTTTCACATGGCAATTGTGAGCCACAGTAGATTCCAGTCCTATATAAACGCTATTTTAGCAAGTTTTGATTTTTTGCAATTGGTTTCTCACCAGTTGTCTTACGTATTCCGATTTTCCTTCCTTGAAAACGTCAATTTAGTTCCAAACATCGAGCCATGCCCTCATTTCTCGTCCTTTTGAAGACATGGCCCAGTGTTTGGAACTAAATTATCCGTCACGTTTTCAAGGGAGAAAAATCTTTGGTCTATGCTCAAGCAAAAATTTGGAACGATTGAAGTGGAATGAAGGTAATTTTTGGAGTTTTTTCTTCGTTGGGCAGCGTAGGACAGCCGGGTTTTCCCTTGTCTTCTTCTTAGTAGGTGAGAAACCAAAACATCAAAACGTGCTAAAATGGCGTTTATAGCGCAGGAAAAGGTAAGAAAACAACACAGACAACTTTTATCAGGTATGTACACTTAAATCACTGTTTATGTTCATTTTAACCGTTTTATCGATCTTACGATAAGTTTCCATAGAAATCCTTATTATTTGGCTTCCTGTAGGCTCTTGTGAGTCTGGGTGCCAGGGACTAGTCTTACCAAATTAAAGATATTTGCATGCAATATACGATTTGGTATCAACGTATCTTTGATGATGCTAATGCGATACCTGTTACCACTTCACTCTGATGTTGTTAACAGGATGTCATTATTGTCATTGTTTGCTTGGTTTCATATTCTTTTCGTAGCAGGTTTATTAAAATTACGAGCGGCTTAGTTACCGAGCTGATAATTCATGCAACACAAGATAAATCAAAATGATATGAAGCGCTGTTTTTAGTAGAGTCTTTGTTATCAACGTATCCACATGTTTAACGAGTAATTTTTCGTTAACTTTGTGGGTGAATCACCAAAGTCCTCCTCTTTTTGACTACCACTAGCATGATACTCGAAGGAGCCTTGGTTAGATTCCGTTACTCCAATACCATGATCTGCACGAGCACAGTTATTTCCCCCTCCGCCAATCATTATCACAGCTTCATCCCCATTGCCCCAGTCACACCAAAAGCCAATCTCGGTAGCACTTTGGAGCTGTGAGCTGCAGCCAGCCTGTGAAAAACCTTTTGTTATAGTGAAATGACCTTCGTATTGAACAGTGCAACTTTCTTGACAGCTATTGCTGGCCCAAACAGCGCCATTTCTGAAATTTCCATAACTCGTTATTTTTGATCTAAAAGTCTGTCCCCCTAGACAGTTATTTATGGTCTGCAACAGAGCGGTGTGTTGAGGATCATCACTGCGCGTGATCTTGAACTCTATGGCACTGACTAACCAGAAAGCTGGAGAAATCATGTCAGTGTTGCCAGATGGATCAGTTGTTTCTCCTGCAGCAACATTCTTGTCATACCACCATTCACCACTGTCCGCCATCCAATTTCTGGTGTCATTATTAGAGAACCGAGCAATAAGAGTCCATCCTTGATCATCTGATTCCATGTCGCAGTACGCCTGGCACAAAGGAAAATTGGTTTTCGTTTGTTATAAACACACTTTGACAGGAGTTTAGGTAAGAGGCTTGGTGAAACATCTCGAGATAACAAAGGTTTGTTTGACTAAACGCTCTGTATTTAAACTCTGTCGACGGAGAACGCTACGCAAATGACTTGTCATTTGTTGCGCGCATCCAAGTATCTTGGAAGTTAAATGTAACTGATGCCAAAAGTTCATGTGAATTTATACAGTGTTATAAGACCATATAGTTTAGGGGTTTTTTTTCGGACTAATCTTCTGAATCTTGTTTCCCTATTCCCTATCAACAGCCTCTAGCATCGAAAGATCTATTTGATCATACGTATTAGAATAACAAGAAGATAGAGAAATCTTGACTGTACCTGAAACTTCAAGGAATTTATTCCGCTCAGCCATTTTGTTCCGCTGGCTGTCTGGAAACCTTCGATCGTTCTGATATCCGAACAGGACAAGGCAGCTAATACAAAGTAACCATAGAAAAGAACTTAGAGTAGGGATTCTCTGCCGGAGCAAAGACGCTCCGAGCAAAGGGAAACATTTATGTAAATAGCTCTTCATAGCTTCTGACTAGGTCACCAAGAATTTTCAGAATATAGAAGAAACGATCTGTAACTGATTTTCTTATGATATGCTAGCCCCATATGTGACAAAATATAATCAACTTCTAAAAGAAGTAATATAAATCTCTTTCTGAACGATTTCTGGGTCCTTCCTGCAAGATACGGAGAGAATGTTTTCTCGCGAGGGCAATTTCGACACAAATGCATTATAGCGTAAAGGTGAGTAAAGTTGAAAGGTTGGGTGAAAGGTTGCGTAAAAGACAGCAATTTTCGGCACTCTCAAGCCATGCCAGCCCTCTTCGTAACTTTCTTATATCTGATAGGTGAAACGTTTTGACAATCAACAATACAATACAAACTTTAATGACACTCCCTAAAGAGAGCTCTTCAGTGACAAGACAGTAAATTTAAAAACCACAATGACATAATGGTTTATATAAAACTAGAAATACGTAACTCGCAGGACCTCGAGTAGCACTTCGGGAGAACGGCAGGCAGTAGAAAGAAAGGAAAATATTAAAGGCAATAGGGAAGAAAATTTATAAATTTATAACAATTACGCTAAAAAACAAAACAAAACTGCAATAACTAGAAAAGAACTAAACTAAACTTTATATCCATTCACGAAAAATGACTGGCCATTACGGCTTCTTGAGAAGTCCTGGTAGCAGTTGTTTTTGTGAGTAATAAATTTATGTCTTCATGTGAATTTGTCTTGTAAATTTTTAAAAAGCGGTGAAGGTGTTTCACAAGAGCAGTTTATTTCTATATTTATGCCTATAATTCTACGTTTTAACAACTAAATTGATTTTTTCATACCCAGTCTTAAAATCGCTCGTAATATGCAAAAAAAACTTGCGGTAATTTATGCATCGAGCTTGGGCCGCCTGTGCTTACCTGTATGTATTCGTATCACGGTATCTATCGGTTACTGGCATTTTAATATGCGTAGGTTACTTGTATGTAGTCTTATATTACCCGTATATGTGTGCAAACAAATTTGTAAACCTTAGCTGTCCGATCCGCCTTGAAATCAATTTTAAGTGTTACCTGTATGTTCTCCGTATGTTATTCCTAGGTACTCGTATGCTGCCGTATATATCCGTCTGTTACTCGTATGTTCTCCGTATGTTACTCGTAGGTACTCGTTTGTACCCATATGTTACCCGTTTGTACCCGTGTGGTGTTTTAGTCAAGATCGTAAGGGTTACTTACCTGGAACGAGGGGGTATGTGGTATATTCACAAACCCCCGAGGCCGAGGGAAAGTTAAGTAATATGCTTATTTTTCACTTATGTGGTTTCCTAATGCAGAAGGACGTTTGAAAAATCTTAAATTAATTCTTTAGAGATGCTCATTCTCAAGAGCCTCTAATTGTTTGAGGTTGAATTCTAAAATATGGAAATTGATCAATTCATGTGGAGTAGTCAAACAGTAGTTTTACCAGAAAGAGATGAGTGACTCAGAGGAAGAAGTATTCTTAACGCTAAGGCGGAGCAGTTTTGGAAACTCTTTTCGACCTCCACCGCGACAGATTTTTGTATCAGTCGTCCAGCGAGTCACATTGCAAACCCAGAAGTTGGAGATGTTAAGTCACATCACAGGCAGCATAATATCGGTGCATAAATTACCGCGCATATTACGATTGTATGAAAAAATAATATAGTTGTAAAAACGTAGAAATATAGGAATAAATATAGAAATAAATTTCACCACGTAAACTTGGGTTGGTTGGTGCTTTTTCTCTGTAACCTGGGCTCAATTCATGACCATTTTATACGGTTTTGCGACTCGTTGTTTGTTCGGTGTTGTTTTCCTACATGATGCGAAGCAAGGCAGGTTACTGTGTGCAGTCTCAACTCACAAATCTCTCCCGCATCAAAGAACCGCGAACCGATTCACCATGAAAGCGCCAAATCCTTAAGGCCCGGTGAGTCTCTTATCACTTCCCCTTGTCATAGGTATTGCGATGTGTGTTTGTTTTGGTGGGAAAATATTTTGAAAGCTTTCGGTTCTCGGCAATCTGACGTGCCACCAGGCACCTCGATGACTACGAGTTGCTTGGTGAACGCGAACTTAGGCTGAGGGGATCCGGGTAATTATTAATGCATGACAAAACATAGACCTACCCTCAGATAGTCTACTGATTGCGCGTGGCCATAATGAATTAATTCGATTTAAGGAGTATTGTAGGATGCCCAGGGGGCATGAGCGCATTTCGTTTGTATTTTCGAGCGCTTTTCAGGACATTTTTTCTTAAAGTTTTCTTAGAATAAGATTGTAATGGGAAAAAAGATCCTTGTGCCGTGTCTGAATGTAATAATGATCGCCTTTTTCTAGTTTAGTATTAGAAATATGGTCTTTCACTGTATATTTCTCGGGAAAAGGGCGATCATTATATACATCAAAACACGGCACAACGATCTTTTTCCCATTACAATATTATTCTAAGAAAACTTGAAGAAAAAAATGTCCCGAGAAGCGCTCGAAACTACAAACGAAATGTGCTCATGCCCCCTGGGCTTCCTATAATACTCCTTAAATCGAATAAATTCAATATGGCCGCCGTATCGGTAAAAAGGTCTAATAAAATGTTCGCGTTCACCACGAAAAACGTAGTCGTCGAGGTCAAACGTAGTCATCGAACAAACAACGAGCTGCAAAACCGTATAAAATGGCCATGAATTGAGCCCAGGTTACACAGAAAAAGTAACAACAAACCCAAGTTTACGTAAGTGATATTAATTTCTATTTTTATGCTTATATTTCTACGTTTTAACAATAATACATGCAAAACAGTATCAAAAACGCGCGGTAATTTATGCACCGAACCTGGGCCGCCAGTGGTCAAATTTGTTTAGGTGATGCGAACTGCTAGTTTGAACAGAGTTAGTAGAGGAGACTGGTTAGAAAACCCGGCAAACATCAAAGTTGAAAACAATGGTGCTGTAGTTTATGTTGAAAGCTCCCCGTGCAAAATCCTTTCCGTTTTTTGTTCACAAATTGTGACTGAATAAATTAATGCGATATTTCTATTGGTCAGTAAGTTCAAAATGATAGGAATGCTATTGAACATTGTGCACGGTCAGGTCCAAAAAAGCTAACAAAAACCTATAACAAAGGGGTCTAACGAGTTTCCGAACCTTCCAGTTTGATAACTATGGTTTGAAGGACACTGCGCTACGACACCTGGCGACGAAGAAAATGAAGTTCAAGAAAATGTTTTAAGTTCGTTAAATCGAAATTCAAAACTCTGACTTGTGTTGTTTTACTTGGACGGTTATACATGTCGAGGGGAATATTAGCAGGGGAATACGACGAGGGAAATATGGGCAGAGGAAATATATATTGCATTGTTTTGTTAAAGTTATCAGCTATTGTTATATTCCTTGACTTTCACTCAGCTAAACAGGGACTGCTACTAGTTGATTCTTGGTCACGTAGCCTTCACTAAAATCAAATGTATCCCAATCGTGATACATTAAGCAATGTAACCCGCTTGGGCTACATTACAGCACGTGACCAAAGCATGGTGGAAAGCCTGTCGTGACAAAAGGCGGAAAAACACTGTAAAAGGTCCTGCCAGTTTTCTTTTTCGTGAATGAAAACAACAACACAAACACGAAGTTTCAAGTTAAAAAGCAACGATTTTTAAAGTTATCCAAGAAGTTCCCAGAAGAAAAACATACAGGAGCTAGTGGAGGAAAATGATGCAGATATTATAAGGAAGGTACTTTGTAAATCATACATTCAGTGGTTTTGAGAATTAAATTTGTGTTGTTATAAGAACCGAGTCGACTGTTTTGGTTCCCTCCGGTTATTCTTTTGTTGCTGTTGAAGTGAAAGTCTAGAAATATAACAAAACACTTATGTCAAGTCGCTCGGGAAACCAGTTAGTTTTGTTTTCCCTCGAGTTCTGATGTTTCCCGAGACGAAGTCGAGGGAAACATCGGGAAGGACTCTCGGGAAAACAAAACTAACTGTTTCCCTCGGGATCTGACGTTAAGTGTATATTGTTTCAGCCCCGCACTCCCTTGTTACAATCAAAGCCGCCACCAACTTCTCAAACAGTGAATAATAATGAGGGGTTATGTAATATATTCCACTAAAAAGAAACCGGAAACTGAGCAACGTGAAAAAAAAAAAATAAAGAAAACCCTTATTCTTTAATTTTCTGCTATCAGTTCTTACGAAAGTCTTTAAAATACTTCCGTTTCGATATACAAATAACAGCAATTGTGATTGACCGGTACAAGTAAATCCGTTTCCGTAATATCCCTCTGCGCATGTGCAACTGTAGGATCCATAGTTGTTGTTACACACTGCATTGACGCCACAGCTACCTGCCTCAGAACACGCGTCGATATCTACATTAATGGGAAATACTGATTGAGACAATTAAGTTTTGGTTGTAAATTTAAGCCAACAGACCTGATTCGCAAGCGGATAGAAATGTTATTTTTCTTTTATATGAATTCAAAAGAACTTTCACATTGAAAACAGGCATTAAGGGCCAATTATCATGAAGTTATATTTGCCCCCGTTTAGGAATAAGATGTGTCATACAGTTCATGCACAATATACATGAGTTCTTGCCCGTAGCCAACGATGTTTTTCAATTGTGGGAAAATGGTTCTCCCAGACAAAGCAAAGTGAGTTTTGCGCCTAGTTTCGCGCTATTGAAGGTACTTGCCCCATCCTCTCTATAATCAGTGGTTGCTTCAGGGTCAGTTAACGGGAAAATGTGTTGAGACTAAAAGAAAGGATTACTCGTAAAACGTGAAAAAATAGGACAAAAGCCAGGAAAGAAAAAGAAAGGTACTAAGACAAGCGAAAAAGCAGAAAGAGTCCTAGACTAAATGCACCCTCTTTAATAGTAGATAGTGTATCTTCTGATATTTTACTTCAATTACCCCTAATTTTACATCATTATTAATTGCACAACCGGAACATTAAGTCAAAATTACTTCTAATTCTTGCATTACCTGATATCCTTTCTCTCATTATAGTTTTTAGCACCAACGTTTGAACGTTTACGTCCTTTATTCTATCATTCTATCACATTCTATCAGTTTAGTTTCGAGATGTCGGAAAGATTTGTGAACGCCGGTTCGGTTGAACATTTTTGGGAAACGGAAAGAGAGCACAAAGCCTTTTTACAAACACGGCACAACGAGATGTTCTGCTGAAAGGAGTCAGCTGCACAGGAAAAAGAACAGGCAACGGAAAGAAAGGGCATCCACACCGAACTCTTTAGTTGTAGTCTTTACCTGGGGAGTTTATAAGGTGCAAAAGAATGTGATCATGAACTCACGAACTGCCATAAGGCCCTATAACCCACAACGACCTTGCACGGGCACGAGATAAAGAGGGCAGTGTACACCCTCTAACGAGAAACTGAGTGTCATGGCCATGACATTCTACTTTTTGAAATAGTGGCTCTAGTTCCACTGTTTACATGTAGGTATTTTGCTACCCTTTGCATCTACTTAGTGTGGTACATGTACAGTAAATTTACAAAGTCAGGCAATAAAAAAAACATTACACAATAAATAAGAAAATTAACTGTTCTTGAAACTGAGCTGCTTGGCAACTTAAAATTTTGGGGTGCGTTCCTTTGGGAAGATCTGGATCAGGATCAGTGATCTGACACTCGTAGGACCATGGTACATAAAATGAATCAATTAATGCTTTCCCAGGGTGGATTTGCCATTTCTGTACATGTATGACTGTATTATGATCCTAGTGACTCGGATCTTTGATCCTGATCTGGATCATCCCAATAGAACACCAAGCAAGAGGCTCTTTCAAAGAACAATATTCCACTTTTTTGAATCCTTGTATACCTTTTTTCTTGAATCAATTTAATTTGATGGCACATAAAACTTTCATTGCTTTCAAATTAGACTTTAATATATTTTCAGTGTACTTTAAGTTCAATTCAGTTTAATTGGTGTCACCCAGGGTGTCACCAATTAATAGGGGTTTTTCTCTTCAGAACATTTTATGACAGGCGTCATCTCATCTTGTAAGCTATGGTCGTCTGCATTCATGTTACTCTTAAGACAAAATCCAGGGGCACCCAACGTCAATTTTCGGAAAATATCTGTTCGGAAGACGATTTGAGATCTAGAATTTTCGGAACATTTGTTGTAAGATTTCTCGCTTCCGTGCCTCTCCTAGGATTTTCGAGCCCCCAAAAATGGTATAATTGCCCATTTTTAACGGATAAATTCGAACGATACAATTGGAATAAAACCAGGAATTATTAACAGAGTGTAGATTCTTCGACATAAGGAAAGGTTGTTTGACTATTATGTGTATAGGGCCATTATTTTTGTTGATTCGATATAAGCAAAGTACATCTCATCACTTTCTGATTAATTGCGATAATTAATGGTAGTCGTGCAAGTTCGTCTCTGCAAGCTAAGTTAGAGGCGTTATTGTTCACTTCCAAGTAGCGTTTATACTACAGAGAGCATGCAGGGCTTTTTCTTTTATTTGTTCTAATGCAAGGGTAAAGTTTCCCGTTGGAGTTAAACCTGTACATAAATAGGTGCATTGATGAACAATTTAAATTTGTTCGTTGCCTATGTTGAAGTTCTTGTCAACTGATTTCCTTCGGCGTTTTTGGAATATCCTTAGTTTTGGTTTCTTCCGATTAATTTTTAACATCGATGTTTCCGATAAGAACGAGGCTTGTTCAAACAGTTTTGTATTATTCAATCCTCTGTACTGAGTATTTGTTTTGGATCTTGACAGGATAATTACTTATTTTAAATTTAACAAAATTCTGTCGTTCGTCATAATGTCTTAGCTGGTAGAGATAATGAATATTCATCTTTAAAAGTTTTATAAAATTCTAGTTTTTTGAATTTTCGAGGCTGTGCCGCCAAAAAAGATAGATATTTCTCTCTCATTTCTGTGGTATATCGTCTAATTTTATCATTATCTAGAGATTCAGCATCTAAACTGGTTAGATTGTATTGTTCAAGCATGTTTATGAAATTGGAAAAATATCCGGAATTATTCATAGAATGTAGACTGTTTGACTATAGAGTCATTATCTTTGTTGTTGAGGTAAACAAAATATTTCATAATTTTCTGATTTATCGGGATAAGCAGCGGCAGTCTATCAAGTTCAGCTCTGCAAGCTATGTTAGAGGCCTTATTGTTAACCTCTAAGTAACATTTACAGAATTTGAGGTGGATTTTTTTTCTATTGGGAGCTATCCCATTTTTTAAAAATCTTGCTTGGTGTACATTCCCCATACCTCGCTGTTGTAACTCAAGATTGGGAATACCATGGTGTCAAAAATTTGGGATGCAGTATTAGGATTAAGTTTGTTAAGAATTGTCCGCTTCCGAATACTAGAAAACGCGTGAAGGGCCTTTTCTTTTAAGTGTTCGAGTGCAAGTGTAAAGTTTCCCGTTGGAGTTAAACGTGTACCTAAATAAGTGTATTCTTGGACAATTTCAATTGAAATGTTGAATTTGATGTCTTTCGTATTTTGTCAACAAATGGTGATTTCTTAGTTTTCAATTTCTTCGCCGCTTGACGTATTTCCCTCTCAGTTATCTCATAATCGAGATGGTTAAACTGTTCCTTTTCGTGTTCTAAAGAATTTAGTTCCCTATGGATTTCATGTTCATGCGTGGAATTCGTCGGGTCAATAGAATGCAGAGATTTGAAATGGTGAAGCCATGATTCTTCCGAGATTGGGGCAGGAACATTTTCGTTGAAAGTGTCGCTCATCGAGTTTAAACAATTCCAAAATGACGCCTTGTCAGGATTTAAAGCTAGTTCGTCGAGTTGTAATGTTTTTTCTTTGTGGAATCCTCTTTTCTTTGTGCCTAGTAGTAGTAGTAGTAGTAGTAGTAGTAGTAGTAGTAGTAGTAGTAGTAGTAGTAGTAGTAGTAGTAGTAGTAGTAGTAGTAGTAGTAGTAGTAGTAGTAGTAGTAGTAGTAGTAGTAGTAGTAGTAGTAGTAGTAGTAGTAGTAGTAGTAGTAGTAGTAGTAGTAGTAGTAGTAGTAGTAGTAGTCGTCGTCGTCGTCGTCGTCGTCGTCGTATCGTCGTAGAAGTAGTATTAGAAGTACTTGTACTAGTACTAATAAAGTGACTTTATCATGCAATTGGCGCATTGGATGTGATATTGACCCACCGCTCTCACAATGGTAACCGCTGAACCCAGGAATGCATGAACACCTATATCCTTTGTCTGTAAAACCTGCCTGACAGGTTCCGCCGTTCTGACATCGTTGTGCATCACAGTGGTTCTTAAAAAACAATAAGAACAAAACGTAAACGAATAGACAAACGAACACCTGAAATAGTCGGTCCGCCGGCCAAATATTTACGACTTTGTGGCCTGAAGACAGCCTCGTGGCAATAAGCTAGTCTGACGTGACGAAACCTGGCTTCAGAGATTTTCAGTTGGAATGTGTATGCATGCATAAAGCTATTGAATAATGAAATGACTGCTATATGATCATTGAATGAGGTTGCATTGCGTGACCAGATTTTATGGAAATAGCATAAAGCTACATGTATATTAGATAAGTACACTGAAGCATTGAACCCAACCCGTTAGCAGCACTTACTAATCAGGGGCAGCCGACGACTTTTTTCTGTAAAATATCTATTCCGAGGAGCAAATATTGGACGACTAAAAATTTCTAGATAACTGTTCCATTCACGTACAGTTTCGAAGCTTATCTAATAAATCCCTACGTTTTTCTAAAGTTTAAGTTTTCACATTTCACTCCTCATGCATGTCAGGCTATTTTTCGTGCAAAAAAGGAAACCTGACATTTTCGGATTCAAAAATGTGATGAAGAGAGAAATTAGTACAATTCTCACTTTCGAAAAACGTTAAATTACATCGAAAATTAAAATAAAATTGAAGCCCTTGTAATTTCGAAAAGACTCAAGTTCCCCTAGGATGACCTAACAGATACAAATTTTATGGTTCCGCTTAGAATGCATTTGTAGAGATCTAAAAAAAGTGTTTTCAATGTGTGATTAAGGAGGAAACCGTCATTGAGGACCCTGACCAATTACAATATTTAGTGTTCAATCAAAATATTTTTCTGTTTCTGATTGGCTCAAATCCCCCAGTTAATTAATAACTAGCTGGCTTTGAACAAATTTGGAAGACGTTTGCGCGCGATTACCAGTAAAATGACATCAATAGTACAGTATATAGACAGAAAAAGGGACAGCAACCAAGAAGTCCTGGAGAAGAGGTTGTGTTAGCTAAGCTGTTTTGGAACTGAGCTGGAGAAAATGGCGTACGTTTTCACACCTTTTCGAGGAAAGGAATAGCCGAACTACTGCCTAAAAAGGACAAAAACGCAATTCGATGGATGACAACTGCTGTTTGAAGAATATTACACTAAAAATCTTTTTAGGTCCTGATTTTGCCAAGAAACAGGCAAATGAAGACAGGGACTTAACATAGATGGTTTCCCATATCAATCAATCAAGGTTATTTAGATAACAAGGGATGGAAATGTATTGTTCCGGCTGTCACCTTTGCTCCACGGTAGGTGTAATTGGTCCAGGGCTGTAGGTCGTGAGGGTATTCATTGTGGCTAGCATTATTCAATTCACACTTGGAAGATGATCCGCCTCTTATTTCCGTATTGAAACTAACACAGTTATTTTCCATGAAGCAAAGTGCTCCACAGAAGTTTTCCTGGACGATTTCTAGGCTTTTTATCACATGATTTATTAGTCGTTTTCCGAGGAAAGTTCCAGAATTTCTGAATTCCATATGGCGACATTCGTCTGCAAAGCATAAAAACCATATTTTTATTGTTTATTTATTACGTTTCGTGTGCCTGGTACAATTTCTGTTCATTAAATCATAGTTATTAGAGGAGACTGGTTATGAAAAGCGGCAAACATCAATGATAAAAACAACAGTGCTGCATTTTATGTTGGAAGTACCGTGAAAGTGCACAATCCTTTGTTTTCTGTTGGCAAATTGTTACGGAATAAATTAATGCAACGTTTTTATTGGTCAATACAATCAAAATGATAGGAATTCTTTTGAACGTTGTGCACTTTCAGGTCCACAAAAACATATAACAAAGGAGTCTGACGGGTTTCATAACCATTCCACTCAATTAACTATGATTAAATGAACATTTCAGCCGACAAAAAGAAATAACACTCAAAAAGTGAAGACAGTAATAAATGCTAGTGGTTAATAAGTGAAGGCTGATAGTAAATCAATCGAAAGATATTTACATCTGCGGTATATTAAGAGCTATAAAAAAGTTATTTGAAATAACGGTTAACATTATTCGTTTTTTGTTAAACGCTTTGGCATTCATGCATGACAGAGATATATCATTCCAGATACTACTTAATAAAAGAAGACAACGATACAAATATTCTTACCTACAAAGTAATTCATTATTGCTTGTATTTGTGTCTGTGTCAAAGCCACGTCATAAACTTGCATTTGGGAAATCTTTCCTTTGAAATACCTATCGTCATTATCTCTGACTCCCATCCTGACACTGTCCTGAGTTCCAAGATCAATGCCTCCGCCAATGTTTTTTGTCTGAACTAAAATTCCGTCAACCCATGCATTAACTTGACCAGACGTATGGTTGTAGGATGCGCCGACAAACGTCCACCTTCCAACTATATTGGTATGGGCTAGGTTGTTTGTATTCATGTAATCCCGGCTATTGAAGCGAGCAAAAAATTTCCCACTAACTACCCATAAATGAACACCATACTTTCCACCTGTCCTGTAGTTAAATATGGGACCGTTTTGGACTTCACAGTGCACCCAGCATAGCAAAGTCATCGAGTAACGTACGTCCAACGGACCTCCAGCAGTGTTGGAAAACTCTATGTAACTTCTTGCACTCCCAGTAAATTCATAGGAGCCGCCAAGCTGTCCTTGAGGTCCTGTGGAAAGGTATACTCCACTGGGGATCCCCGGTGATGCGCTATTCTTAACGTCCTTAGTACCATACGCGGCATTAAGCGGGAACATGGCAACAGGATCTGGAACTTGATTTTAAATAAACATTAGGTCGATTTGGTGCAGGGGAAATAAATAAATATAAACTAAAAAAGGGGAATGAACTTAATTGTCGGGGAGCAGGAGGCGAGTAGGGTTAGCCTGATTTCGCCCTCATTAATTAATATGCACGATTTGTGCGCCAAGAATCGGTGAACCGGAACCATAGCAATGGCAGCGGCAGAAAATAGAACGTGCATAATTACGTTACGGCTCATTGATTTTGGGTAACAGGTGAGTTTGAGTTTATTCCTTAGACACCATGAATTAACCAATGAAAACACTTCTTATTTGCTAATAAAGCAATCGAAAACTAAGACACTTATCGACCTTAAAGTGACTAGAAAACCGGCCAGATCGGTTAAATCACTTAAAAATAGCACATGACCTTATCGTATTATTGAGATTCCTACCCATTTTATTTATGAGATAAACTGACAAAAAGCTATGAAGTTATTGGCGTCAATCCACAAAAAAGGTTAATTCGGTGCCTACAATATTACTATAGCCACACCACAACACGATACCTAACCACCAGTGGTTTTCGCAACACCAAGAAAACCAAGAAACACCTGAGTCACGCATTTGTTATTCAGTGTTCCAAAAACTGTTAAACAACGCTCTTGATGTACTGAGATATATCATTGCGTCTACTTAAGAGCGTTGTTTGTGTCAGAAATTAAAAAAAAAATTCGCGTAGTTTCCGTTCCAAAAAAAAATATAACACTAAACAATATTGAAAGACTACCACTTTGAGCTTAACACAGAAAAAATTGATTAACCAAAAATTTTCCGACGTTTTGTTTGAGCCCCAAACTTTATTGGCCCCTTAATGCGACCGGTCCCACTTCTTCCGAACTTTTTGAAACCGATATTTGAAATATTTGGCATTGTAAAGAAAATAACTGCATGCTTTACATTTTAGTTGAGTTGCTGAGAATAAAAGACCTTAGAGAAGAAAGAACTTGTGAATGATTGCACTTACAGTCGAGCCTCTCCACAACGACCACCCTCCCCTCCATGGGGAAAGAAAAAAGATGCCGTTGTAGAAAGTTTTAAACAAAAGACTTTGTATGGACTGTCTGCCGTTGTAGAAAGATGGTCGTTGCGGAGAGGTGGCCGTTGGTGGAGGTTCGACTCTGTTTTTAAATCATCCGTGCTTCAAGAACATCATAAGTTAAACCGATTTATGAAAACAATATTTAGAATACTTTACTGAGTTAATAAGGATTAAACGAGATCCAGTGTAGAAGGTACCAGCCAACACTTCCTTTCTATTGGATTCCCACGACTGTTACTCTGACTGTAAGCCAGGCTAGGTCCCTGGTGGAGACAGATTCCGGATTAAAGGTCAGTCCATCCGCAGAGCTCAAGGAGGCTGTCAGTCGGGACATGAGAAAAGGCGCATCGAAAGTTGTCAATTGCCGGCGGAAGAGCCCCTGCATACCGAACCTTGTTAGATGATTTCCAATGGCTCGAGGAATGTCGGCTCTTTATTGGGAAAGAAAAACCCTTCGCATTATTGTGCCCAATCAGCAAACAGCATCTCTTGAGTCTCTCCCCAGTCTCGCTCTCTGTTTTCAGCCTCGTTCCAGACCTTCTGTTTGACAGCTCGCGCGTATTTGAACACGCAAAAATTCGGCCTGTTTTGCAGTCAACTAACATTCTGCAATCCAGGATAATTTCTTTACACAAAAAGGATGTTTTGTTCCTCTAAAGTTGGCTAAAGCAACCTTGTGCCATAACGTATCCCTCATTTAATACAGAATGGCAGCGGGCAGGCTTATCTTACTGTCCAATAATGTGCAGTTTGAAAAATCCTGGACATTTGAAGGATCGATGAAGCCCCTGCAGGAACAATTGCCGTCGTAACAACCAAATGCCTATCCAATGCGACTCTTACTGCTGCTTGGCTTTGCGTGACCTGCCTTTTTTCTGGTCCCAAAAACCTGACTGATGACGAGCCGGCGGTATTTTTCAGGACGCTAAAATACATATTCTGCCAGGATTAAATGTGGGTTTTAAAAGTCTAAATCGCCTTCTTAACAAGATCGTCTCGTAAATCGAGTTTGAGAAGTATTCTTTCGATATCATTGCTCTGTACAAAACTTGGCTTACTTCCGACACACTCAACCTTTAAATAGGTATCCCTGGATACTCATTTATTCACAAAGATGGAAGGGCGTCATGTAAAAAGAGAGGGTGATACGTAAATTTGGAATTTCTCATGTCAAATCTAGCATTTGTTGTGTGGCCAAAATGGCAAACACATTGGTGTTGAAATCAATTACAGACCAGGAGACCAGACCTATTTTTTTGGCCAATTATCAGTTAACTACTGTTTTTTTGGCCAAATATCAGTTAACTGTTAACCCCATTCAACCCTCCGATAAATGTCTTGGTTTTCGATTGGTTGATTAGGAAATTAGAAACGTTTTCATTGGTTAATTCATGGTGTCTAAGAAATAAGCTCAAACTCGCCTGTGACTTACAATCACTGAGCCGTAACGTAAT